ATGGTGAATTAATTTGTATTGATGTCGATATAAAAAGCAAGACATATATTATTTATAAGTATTCCGTAAGATTTAGTTGCTTACCGTCTGGCCTAACCATTCATGAAAAGTTTCTGTGAATAACTTATGTAGCTCTCGTTGATTTAATCTTCGGGAGCGTGCACGAGATCTCAAGACTTCTTTAAACTCACTATGAAGTATATTATATCGTTAAAAATTGATAAATATAAAACATTAAAAGATTTCATTAGGATTGGGTCCGAAAGACTTACGTGCGAAAGAGATCTATTGAATCGTGATGGAAAAGAATATATCGGTGTGCTTGTACCCAAGACGTGTCATCTAAGTGTGCAATTTTAACTTTCCTTAATGATTGACCATAACTTCCAAACAAATAATATTGAGGTAAATCATCAGTACTTAACACGTCATTTCGATTTGGTCTTTCCATCTTGTGTCAACATCTTCCAAATATCTAGAGCAAAATGTCATACATTTCTCTGCCAAATACCCTTCAACAATTGATCCTTCCGGATAACACTTGTTACGACAATAAGACTTCAACTTGCCCAAAACCTATACACAAAACAACATACTACGTAAATACATTTTATTAAAAGGTAAAATCGGTAGTAATTTAAAATGCGTAATTCAATTAACACCTCTTTGTAGGGTACATCCATTGATAAAAAACTGGTCCACCAACTCTTGCTTCGTGAGGAAGATGAATTAGCATATGCACCATAATTATGAAGAATGAAGACGAAAATATCTTCTCCAAGTTGCATAAAGTCAAGGAGACTCGATATTGTAGTTTATCAAGTTCTTCATTCATCAGAACTTTCCTACAGATGGCTTTCATTATATTATAAAGTTCAATGATACAAGGCGTCACCTTACTCGACATGCAACCGCGAACAGCTACTGGCAGTAAATCTTGCATTAATATGTGATAATCATGTGACTTTAAACCATAAAGTCTTCGATCTTTAACACTGACACATAGAGAAATGTTTGATGCATACCCATCTGGGACCTTTATATCCTTCAACACCGTGCAAAACACTTCTTTTTCTTTCTTCGAAAGAGAAAAAATAGAAGGTGACAAGAAATATCTTCCATTCGGATGTAATTGCGGATGAAGATCATGCCGAATTCCCATGTCTACTAAGTCAAGTCGACTCTTAAGATTATCTTTAGATTTTCTACCATCATTCAGAATGGTCCCGATAATATTCTCACAAACATTCTTCTCAATATGCATAACATCAAGATTATGTCTCAAAATCTTCTTTTTCTATTAAGGCAACTCGAAGAATATACTCCTCTTTTTCCACAAGTCTACCTCATTTGGATCATCCTCTTCATCAGACTCATCATCACTTTGTTGGTCAACTTCAACCTCTTCATTGACATGCTTTACCTTTTTCTTTGATCGTGTACTACTTGGTTGATTCATCTTTCCATAAGTGAAATTGATATTTTTCAACATTATGAATATTTAAGAGCTGATTGTTTAGTCAGAAGCATTTCGAAACTCTTCATCATCATCAAACATATTCTTTTGACATCTAAATCTATGATTATCAGGTAACCACTGACGATGTTCCATATATGAGAACTTCTTTCCATTAACCAACCACTTCAAACATGTTTGTGCAGCACAACAAGAACAATCATAACGACCTTTGGTACTCCAACCAGATAAATTTGCATACGCATGAAAATCATTAATTGTCCATAATAAAGTCGCACGTAAATTAAAGTTCTCATTCGTCAACACATTGTACGTTTCGACCCCTTCCCATAATTGTTTTAACTCTGCAATTAGCAACTGCATGTATATATCAATATCATTTCTAGGCCTTTCTCGCCGGGGATTATCATGGATAAGATGAAAGATGATTGTTTCATGTAATCCAAGGAGGCAAATTGTATGGAACAAGTACAACAGGCCAAGTACAAGTACTCATGATTTTGAATGGATTAAACCCATTAGTTGCAAGACCGAGCTTGACATTTCGAGGATCTCTCGCAAAACTTGGATACTTGTTGTCAAATGACTTCCAAGCTAAAGAATCCGCAAGGTGCCGTAATAATCCATCATCAAGTCTGTCATCATGATGCCACCTCATAAACTCAGCAGTCTTGGAGGACATAAACAATCTTTGTAGCCTAGGTATGAGAGGAAAATATCGCAGAATCTTGATCGGTTTCTTTCTTGATCGTGCTTGAGCTTCATCCTCAGTAACATTTTCTGCCTCCCTAGTCATCCATCGAGATTTTCCGCATACATGACAAGACTCCTGATTTTTTTCGATCACCCCAATATAACATACAATCATTTGGACAACTATGAATTTTGTCATATCCAATACCCAAATCTTTTATCATTTTCTTCATATCCTTGCATGATTGAGGGATTTTTTTTTCAAAAAGAAACAATTCTCCTAGTAACTCCAACAATTGCGTAAAGGAGTTACCAGTCCACCCTCCCAGGCATTTTAAGTGGAAAAGACGAATGCAGAAAGAAAACTTTGAAAACTTTGATCCCTCATAAAGTTGTTCATTCATTTTATTCAGCAACTTGTAAATCTTTTCCGCTTCTCCATTTGGCTCTTCATCACATCCAATTTTTCCCATCTCAACGAAATCATTAACATCATTCTGACAATAATTTTCTGTAACATACGGTTGATAATTGTGCATATTAAATGCATCTCATAACATCCCTTCCATGTCATCTTCTCTAAAATTTGGATGGTGAGAAGGAGCAGGATAAGTCAAATAACTCGTGAAAGCAGATCTATCTAAAACAAACTCTCCATGAAAGATCCATTTTCTATACCCTGAACAAATCCAAAAACAACTAGATGCTCGTACACAACTTCACGAATATGCCAATTAATGTTAACACACTGCTTACAAGAGCAAAGAATCATATTCTCTTGGCTTGCATTCAGAAAAGCTAAATTTATAAAGTTTTCGACTCCATTTCGATATTCGACGCTAACCCTTGAGAAATCCATCCAAGTTTTCGACTCCATTTCGTATTTCTGGAGTTTCAATTCCAAATGTTAAATGCTAATATTATACAGAAAGTTAGAACCTAAACATAAGCTTTGAACATCTTATTTAGTGCATAATAATATTGAGATGAATATAGAAATAATCACTTAAATTTCTAAAATTGTATGAGAGCAAGTGTATCTCTGTTATTTTATAAAAAATATAAGGATGCATATATAAAACTGCATAGTATAGAACTAATCACTTTCACAGATGTTTCATCGAAATCAATCATTTATATCTAAACAAACTCATGTTTCATTGTTAAAGAGAGAGGCATGAAGAACTTACAACGGTGTTCATTACCTTTGTTACATGTCAGAAAGGTTCAAGAAATAAAGAAAAATAGTAACCCAAAAGTATAACGGAGAGAAGATTAACTTTGTTTCTTGACAAACGAGTTCCTCAAAAACGAATAAAATTCGAGCTGCTCAACTCAATTAACACCTAGCAAGAGAGAAACAAGTGAATTATTGATTTTAATCACTGATACTCAATTACATCCATCAATAGGGTAGTGTCAAACTATTTATTTTATTATGCATGCTCTGCCAACAAGATAATACAGAATAGCAGTATTCAATAAACAAGATAATGGAGAATAAACCTTTAATAGGTAGTACATATATTCTATATTCTATATTCAGCAAATAAACCTTTAATAGCAGTAATTAAAAAGTAGCACAAAATCATATATTCTATATTCAGCAAATAAACCTTTAATATGTAGTACATATGACGGCAGAAAGCTAAACTTAGTAATTAAAAACAGAAACAAAAGTGTTAGCTAAAAACTAGGAACATATCATTAACTCCAAACATTAAAAAAATATTGTTACATTATGAAAGTTTATGAATAAATATTATATTGTATTCACCCAAACTATTTAAAAAATATTAAGTGTCACATTGATTCTTATACATTTACTGATTGAGATTGAAGTTGACGAGGAGACTAGTTTATTAAAATTAAAACTGATTAGATAAACAAAATTAAGGTCAACTACACTTGATATCATTTAGTTATAGGGAGATTCACGCCTACACATGGGAATCCTTATGCAGAGGGTAAAATTTCATTGTTAAGATCATTTGGTTAAAATAAAGCCCAAAAGGTAAAATATAATGTCCAAAAACCATGAAACACATGAGAATCCTTTTGCAAATGGTACAATTGCATTTACTTTAACTATTTTAGAAATATTTAAAAAAAACCTACGAAATTTACAAAATAATGTAAAAAACCATTAAAAAATCATTTTGTCAAAAATAAAGTCCAAATGGTCAATTACAAAAAATGAATCGAATCAAATTATCATGGAAGGTTCAAAAAATCTGATCGAACCAAACATATCTCTCCCTTAGTCATCAGCTTAAACATTAAAATAATAAAGGTAATAAAATAACAAATAAACACAATACTTATAGCCCTTTACAATTTTGCTCTTTAGATCCAACACACGAAGACTGGAAATTCTAAAACATCAATACATGCTTATATAGTCAGCTTCCTCGGGCTTCAATCAAACCTGCAGTTTTCTCCATGCTCGTACAAGCATGGAGAGACTTGTGAAATATGTAAAACCAACAATAAAACAGGGAGTTCTCAATTCAAGACGATGACCAACAATATTATTCGAAGGCAGGAACAACATATGCAACAAGCAGCAAAATTAACCAGCAATGCAATTATAATGGGCCATAAGGGGACTACGCGTCACTTATGATGTTGCAAAATATGAGACATCACGCTCAAGTAATTTTCATATTGGGCAACAAGTGTGATTGCCAAAAGATCATTAAGGAAATCTTCCACAATCACTATGATATGTCCCTTGATTAGACTAGATGGGGTTCTACTTCATATATTCAAGTATGGAAACAACGGAAGAAAATTCCAGCTCCCCCACATTAGTTGACAATTTAACTAGTTAAAACTTCAAAACTAAGTACTTACTATTTCTAACAGAAGCTTTCTGTCAAAACAATGACACCTCAACGCGAAAAAGTAGATAAATTGAATGAAAAACTGAAAACTTGCCGCCTACTGTATTACCTATTAAAGGTAAAAACAGAAACAAAAGTGTTAGCTAAAAACAGAACCAGCCAAGAATCAATGAAAATAATCAATGGAAAAGAACCAGTGTTTCATTAACTCCAAACTTACCAAAACACATCATAGTAATTGCAGATTCACAAGGCAAGAATCAATGGAAAGAACCAGTGTTTCATTACTTAAAAATCATTAACATATAAAACCCATTTAGCATACGTTCCCTATTTAGCAAACAACGAGTAAAAGACACAATCAATTTCAATAAATAAAACGAATATTTTTTTAGAAAAAGCTAATTGTTGCATTTAGGTACAATAAACATTGTCGACTCAAGAAAGCACGGAAAAAGCTCAACTACTTAACCTTTTTCACTTCGACGAGCTTAGACATTTAAACTTAAAGATAAAAAAACGTGTAATAAAAAAGGCGTAGGAATTTCTACTGTACCGAACAGATACAAGTTTAGAAGAGTTGCTTCAACGGTACCTAGGAATGATTCAATGGAAAATTCTCGATTGAAGCTGAAATTCAAGCGCTTAGGGCTTCAGAGATGCTTCTGCGGTGAAAAATAGAAAATTATTTTTGAATGAAAGCAAAAATGAAGGACCACAACAGTAGAGAAGTTTACGGAAGATTGTGGAGTGGAAAAGGGAGCATAAAATTATAAATAAAAGTGTGAATGGGGAGAAAACGGGCTAACCCTCGACACTCGACTGGGAGATGCATAAATAGTAAGGACAACCAGCAGGAAAACCGGCAGGACAACCTCTCGGTGGGTATCGTGGACGCTCGAACAAATGGGGAGAGATTTTGGGGGTGTTAGGGATCGGCTAATGGTTTGATACAAAACTAAGTCAGAGCAAAACGGTTCGTTTGGGGTAAACTTTAAATTTAGCGGCGTTTATGTTTAAAAACGCCAGTAGAGTATGCTATCAAAACGCCGCTAATGTAAAAGTATTTTGCGGCATTTGTCAAAATAACGCCACTATAGATTACATCTATTGCAGCGTTTGTGTTTAAAAATGCCACTAATTTATGACTCTATCGCGGCTTTTATATTCAAACGCTGCTAACGTACAACTATGTAACGGCGTTTGTCTAAAAAACGCCACTATAGATTACACCTATTATGACGTTTCTATAAAACGCCCCTAAAGTACAATTATTTTACAGCGTTTGTTGATAAAACGCCACTATAGATTTCACCCTATTACGACATTTGTATTAAAACGCCGTTAATGTACAATTATATATCAGCGTTTGTTGATAAAACGCCACTATATATTAACCATATTGCGGCGTTTGTTGATATAAACGCCGCAAAAAGTTAGGAATATATAGCGGCGTTTTTGGATACAAACTCTGCTAATTACCTTAATTTATATAAGTTTGCTTCATTTTAAATATTCCATTTATGCTCTACATAAACTAACTTTACTATCATTTACTTTTACCTAATTAACAACAACCATACATTATATTAAGTCAGAAGTTATGCATAAAAATACTTAACAACAAAAGACATTAAAATTTAGAAACATTAAAGTTATGCATAAATAATCTTCACCATATTGTTCACTATAATTTAGTCTTCATTGCTCCTTCCTAGGGAAAGGACGTAGGAAAGTTGTTTTCCTTGTTTGATGACGCATCGTTAAGTTTTTCCTCCATGTTAACTCTATATGGAGAAACTCTTCTTCCATTTCACCAAATAAATCCTACCTCCGGTTCACCAAGAAGACTCCTTGAACGCTTCAGTGCTTCACTTGAAACAGATAACGAACTTCCACCTACAGTATGAAACTTGATTGGAGGTGGCTTGGTAACTAAATCACTTGTTGGAAAAAAAATTAAATAGATGCTAAAAACGATTACTTGGAGTAACAGTAGAGCCAACGTCGTCTTCATTGAGGATAGCTCTTGTTTTTGCAATTGAAGATTCTTTCAACGCCACAGAGCTACCAAATTTGGTTATAAACATCAGGTTTTTATCCACTCCTCTATCATCATTCTAAATAAGCTTCGAACATCCTACATACATGCGCTCTATGAAATTTTAGATTTTGGAGCAATCGGAGTTCCATTCGGGTCATCATCGAGTTTGACGACAAGTTCGGACTGATAGCCTCCCAACGATAATTTAATCCATCGTCAGAGCAAATACACCACGTGGACATTCCGACGATAATTTCTCTTACTCAAGGCAAAACCTGCTCTTTTTACCAACACCATTTGTTCATGTTTTCAAAAAATATTATTTTCCTATTCGAAAGCTATTATTTTTCTATTTGAAACAGGCAAAACAATGCTCCCAACCAGTAAACCATTAAAACACTATGTATAGATATGGGAAAGCTATTATTTTTCTCAATTACGTTATCTTTTAAGGTTATCCCCATTTTCATAATACCAAAAGCAATAAATGAAAAAGTTCAACAGTGAGAGAAGGGATCAAACCATGCAACCGTGAGATAACTGTTCGTCAATGAGAGGCCTGATTTCGTCGCCGGAAAAGACAGAATACCACGTCGCTTGGAATCGTGTGAGTACCGTTCTTGTACCAGAGAAATCCCTTTTGAAGATAGCAGTGTTGAAATGATTTTAGGGATTGGGAAGGAGAATAGGGTGGATCATATATTTACCCTGTGGCGGCGTTTATAATAAAAACACCACTATAGTACATGTATTCGCGGCGTTTTAATAAAAAAACGCCACTATAAATAAACATATTACGACGTTTATCAAAACTCGCCACTACATTACTATTTTATAGCGGCGCTTGTTGCACTAACGCCACTATAAACAAACCTGTTGCGGCGTTTTTATAAAAACTACACTAAATATCTACTCTTTCGCGGCGTTTGTTTCAAAACACCGCTAAATTACTACTTTTTTGCGGCATTTTTTTAAGAAAACGCCACTATAAATAACTCTATACCGGCGTTTGTGTCATAAACGCCGCAAAATTACAACTATATTACGGCGTTTGTTGTAAAAACGCCGCAAAATTTGATAAGTTAATTTAATTTCTAAATTAAGTTGATTTTTTAGAATATTTTTAAAATTTTATTTTAATTTAAATTTTTTTCTAAAAATTAAAGAATTAGGTCCTACTACCTGAATATTGGCACCACAATAGTAACCACGATTTTGGGGTATTACATGAATAGTTGTAGCATATTCTAATGAGTCATAAATGTCCCAGATCAAACTAGTTTTATATCATGTAGGAACATCATGAAAAATATAATCATTAATCAAACTGTTATTTACTTCATGAGTGCTAAGATGGGAATATTAGATTTTTTGTATTTTTTTGGTAAATGTGAAAAGCTTTAGATAAGCAAATTAGTATGAATAATTTTAGTATTAGCTTCTTTTTAAGTGATAGTATTGGTTAAGAATATTGATCGATGTTGACCGATTATTAACATTATCTGATGAATGTTAAATTCTAAAGGAAACAAACTTTTTTAAATAAAAGAAAAATATAATGGATAGTCCGAATTTTTTAATGGGTATCTAGGATTTTTAATCGATATTAAATTTTAATATAACACTTCATCAAAATTTTCACCACTTTTTAAAATTTGTTACAAATAACAATTCGAGACAATAATAGAATAAAATAAAATTTTTATTAGTAATAGGGTTGAGGCCTGCAACTATAATTTCTTTAAAACAAATTTTCAGTTACCTTGGCACAAGATGTTTTATCGAATCTTGCTAGAAGCTATCACGAAAACAAGAGAGGAGGGAAAAGAATTTGTTTTGATTTGTATAAAAACCTAGTTTAGTCCTGGTAAGTCCACACATTTGCATCACCCAAATCGTACAAGTGCACACCTACAATCGCGATAGATTTAACAAGCTTTGATATACATCCCTACATTTGCATAAATGGCACAATTTCCACCTAAGATATTCAATAATTAACACGTCGCTTTGTGTATATAAACTATTTCCCTAATTCATATCCACCAATATGAGATATGGGTTTTCTAATTTTCCTTACACAACACAATTCACATTTACCCTATTTTGAGCATCAATTTATTATTCATAATTCAACTGATTTGACCATATAAGATATTGTAGTAAAGGTCTTACGGAGAAGAATATGAATCAATAAATTTATTATTCGATCTCCAACTTTACCCTTAGAAAATAATCCCAAAATTCTCAATTTATTACATTGTTCCAACAAAATTTTCTTAATCCTAGAAATTTTCTAAAGAAACATGCCCTACTGCCATAAAAATGACATAATAACAAATGCAAGTAATAAGTCCACATTGAACAGAGACCGATGTGATTTATTTTCTCCTTTATTTTCATTATCAAAAGTGAAAACACTGTAGAGAGTAAAACGAATCATTCAACAACAACAAAACCCTATTATCATATGCAATGGGATAAGGGGGAGATAGGGTAGTAGGTTGTCCCCAACGCCAGGTTGAGAACAGCTTCTGTGGAAGACCTCCGGCAGTCAGAAAATTAAAAAATAAAGATAAAATACAATGCATGTATAAATAAATAAATACATAGTTGAACAATCTTCATATGCAGTCTACATATGAGCGTCTCTAATGGGAAGTAATCCCTGCAAATAAATCCATGCGTAAATTTTTTTGCATATAGACAAAAAACGTAAGTCCGGGCTAAATTTAAAAAGAGGAAACATGAAGATAATGATACACAGTAGTCAGAGATAGCAAGTTACGAGAAGGAATAAAGTCAACTGGGTTAAAACCTAAACTAAGGCAACACTACTCCGCTACCGTAGTTCTAAGCTTTCATAAATTCCAATGGCAGAAACGTATAAAAAGTAGAAGTCATGGAAATTACTACAAAGGCATTAAAAAGAAGACAGAGATGCTAAACCCTATTGCTGTGACCCACATTACTCGACTACTCTGATCTTAAGTCTCCATACTATTGCAAAACGACTCATTCTAAAAATGCAAAACACTCTAGTTTTAATGTAAGTATTGAATATATATATATATATATATATTTCGAAAAAAATCAAGAATGAAGTGAACTAGTAATTAAAAAAAAAGATTGTTGTTACTCTCTAAAATTTTAGATTTGAACATAGCATATACATGTTATAATTTTTTATTGTCAAATTATTGGTAATGTTTAAATATATTATGTTTTATTCACTTAAAATTTATAATAAATAAATAAAAAATAAATAAGCATAACTGCTCCATAGTTGATTACCATATATATAATGTTTATACAAATTAACATCTATAATCTCACATGAGATGGGTAGACACCATGGACTATTACTTCAATCCCGTTCTCCTTCGTCTTCGTATGCCTTTGATTCTATAAGATCTGCTGCAACAGAACCTAAATACTCCATCTTTAACTCTTAGTTTTCTTTATCAGGAACTCCACACATTATAATTACTATATCTTCATTTCTCTCAAAGGGAGATCCTACCAATGTATAAACATCATCACCATCACCATTTCTGATTTCAAATATCATCAGACCAGTCACTAGCATCACTTTCGTAGAACAATCCATCCACGATTTGGTCGATCACCGAGTCGATAAACGAGCTACAGCCGAGGGTGAAAATACGACCCACTTTGTTCCGAGCACTCGACAACCAAGCAAAAGCCGCCGCACAAGTCATCGCCCCTAGGCACGCCCCCACGGCTTCCTCAATCGCTTGCAAATCCATCTTCCTGAATATGGAGGTTCCCGTCACGAATTCTGTCGTCATCGTTGCAGCAAACACAATCTGCAAAAAATAAGAAAACCACACTTTAAGGAACTGAAAACATCTT